TTTGCCATCTTGTATTCGCCGGCGAAATGGTTTTCGCGAGCCGCGACTATGGATTTGCAGGGCGCGAATTGGGTTTCGCATGCGAGAATTCAAATCCTTCTCCTTCCTTAGCAAAAATCCAACACTTAGCCATATTTTGACAATTTTCGCTCAAAATTCTCAACTCAACTTACAAACACTATAAAAACTCGATTTCGCTCATATTTTATTTTGGCTCGGCTCTAAAAAGTCGGGATTGCCGAGTAGGTCGGCACGAGCTCTCGATTTTTTTTATATATATAAAATGAAGAGAAAGGAAAAGAATAAAAGAGAAAATGAAAAAGAAAAGAACAAGGAAAAATAAAAACGTGGGTTGCCTCCCACAAAGCGCTCGGTTTAAAGTCGTGAGCTCGACTTTCCGTCAAATCATAGTCAGCCGGGCATGGCTTGACGAGATCCTCTAACCACACCCTCGAGCTCGTCATTGAACACATTCGCCCACCTACTCCTCGGGGACACCGAGGGTTTCTTCTTCCAACCATCCTCACTCTCAAACTTCATACTATTTTTCGTGAATTTCCATACGCCAGAATTCACATCATCTTTCAAACCCAACGGGCTTCATCCTGGTTTTCCCTTTCCATTCTTATGCTTCTTTTTCGACCCCTTACTATTTCCAACCTCATTTTTCAAATCTCCAAAATTCACTCCAACTCTAACACTCTCATTCACAAACGACTCACCCACCTTCAACTTCTCCTCAACACGATTACAATTAGCAAATTTAGAATGAGAATCGGGATGTACCTCTTTGTCGATATCCTCCATAAACGAGCATTGACCAACTTTGGGTGGAGCTTCCCGGGCATTGTTCATCGTAAAAGTAGCCGTCTCTCCATGAGCCGAAAGTGTGACTCGTCAATCCTTGACATCGATAATGGTGTTGGTCGTAGCCATGAAAGGTCGCCCAAGCAAAATCGTGTGCTCCTTCCCGGTGTTCGGGAAATCTCCGACATCAAGAACCACGAAGTCAACCGGCACAACAATAAACCCAACTTTGACCAACACATCCTCAATTATACCTTTTGGTTCCCTCAAGGTGCGATCCGCTAGTTGTAGGCACATCCAGGTCGACTTAAGTGTTGGGATCTATGAGGATCTCGATATGCACAAATCACGGATAAACATTCAAACATAAACCTATGCGCAGCGGATCTAAAGGTTTGATGTAGAAAACTTATGGCTTAAAATTTATGTAGATGTGGCTGGCCCGAACGGATGACCGCAAATAAAATCTTCTCGGAATCGAACAAACTTGACCAATCCCGGAAGCTGGCGTCACGGCAAAGTCAACGGCGTTGACCGGTCGGGAATCGGAGCGTCCACGCGCTCTCACGCGCGCGTGTGAGTCTCAGCAGCAGCAATCCTCCGGTGGCGCGTGTAGGCGCGTGCGGCTGGCGGCGATCTCGACGGCGATCTCTCCGACTCGTCGTCCTGGTCGTCGTGGTATGGTCACTTGCTGGTTTTGGTCTCCGGTTTGGATGGATGATAGATTTGATTGGAATCCCGTATATACCTTAAGATCTTCTACTGTATTCTCAAACAACTATCTAGATCTTGTATCAGTGGAGCACAAGAAATAGAACAACTCCTTGGAAGAGAGAGAGAGAGAGGTGGCAGACGTGTTTGCTAGGTTATGGGATTGTGTGTTCTCTTCCAAGAGCCTAATGTTGTATATATAGAGCTACAGTAGGGACCCTAAGGAGAATAGGATAATGGCTTCTAATATATTAATACTGCGGAGCAACCCCACAATTAATATATTAATAATATTAAAATCCACCACAATAATATTATTGCACTCCCCTCACCTATCTCAAATTACATTTGAGAC